TCTGGAAATGATAACTTACAAACTTTTCAACAGCTTTATCTGATTCATCTATCATATGTACCAGGAAACAACAGACTTGATACTAGATCATTGCTGGCTTTTCAAACACAGCCTCGTGGAAAACATAGTTTCAGAAATTAAAATCTGATTTCACTTCTGGACCGAGGAATAACATCTGCATTAACAATCCTGACCAGAGTACTTTAACCCTGATTGGACATTTACCTCTGAAAACCAGTAAAAAGCATGACAGGGCTGAAATATGGAACATACTGGTTATCTAGGAGAAACTGATGTTGAGGACCAGATTTCAACTGTGCTGACAAGTTTTGGTTCTAAGTTTGTAATAGATTTGCTCACAAAAAATGCACCTACTTATAGGCTATGCATGAGCCACGCAAGGCAAGAGGCTCTCCATTTGAGAACAGTGTCATTTCAGTTTTGCCATGAAACTGCTGTACGAAATCAAATTCCCTGATTTCTCACATTTTGTCTTACTTGGTGGTTATTTAAGAAATCCCACATCAATTTTGAGTAGCAAATGCTACAACATGCATTTTTTTTGTTTGTCCCCTTTCCCCATCCTACCTTTGCTATGGTCTTTCCCAACAGCTCAATTCCTGTTATGACCCTTTCAGGAATACTTCACAGTGTGAGCAGAAGAATGACTAGCTTTTTCTGCAACACATATTTCTGGGATTATTAGGGTAGTTTCTGATGCATCTCTGCACATGGCAGTGATGTTCAAGGATTCCCCATCTCAAACCTCCCTAACATCTCTTCCTGTCCGCAGTCCTAAGTAAGTCACTTCACTACTTATGGAGAGCACCTGCTTATTTTCTTTTCCACTGGAAAGGATCCACAACAACCACTACACTGAGTGAGCAGCAAAGCAAGCTAATTTACATGAATGGGAGGGAAGAGAGGCTTCTTAAGTGGTGCCTTGCTTAAGAGACACCTCTCTGTCGATGACTTTGAGTTCTTTGAATCTGATTTATGAGCCTGAAGATACTATGTCCTCTATTTCCTGAAGAAAATCCCCACAAACTGGGTGGTGAAGGCACGTGTATCAAAACTTTCTCATAAATTTTGAGTGTAGGAGATGCCACTTTTCTTTCTCTCTCACATTTTTTCCTATTCACTCTGATCTTGCCATTAGTGTATCTAGCAAGTAGTCAGAAATATAGATTAATTGCAATTTTAGCTTTTGTGGACTTGAACCATGTTTCCCCTAATGGCCTATTCCAAAACACATTTTGGGCATTCTCATCTGTTCTTGTTGAAGTTCCTGTCTTGTACTTAAACACTGGTGGCCAAAGGAAGGAGACAAGCCTGCTTCTGTAAATCCACTGTCTCAAAATGCCCAGTGGAGAGGAGCACTGCCTTCTCATCCCTTCCCTGGGGGCTGTGACTATGTTTTCCCCAAGCAGTTGCCTCATGACAGCTGTATAATCAGAGACACAGGGATGTACCCACATCTTTCACCTCCATAAGAGTGACCTACCTGTTGGGTTACAGTCATGCTCTTCTACCCCTCCCACCCTCGATGAATCCAAAAATGCACGAACGAGCAGCTTGAAGTCATGTCGATACTGCCTCACTGCGCTCATGTCCGTCTCTTGCTGGCCCAGTGAATCATTGATCATTTCTTTGTAAACCTCAGAAGGGAGGGACAAACATTCCCTGTGATTTCTACACACACCCACTCCTGTTTAGTCCCCAGTCTCACCTACTGACTGATGGGTTAGGCAGGGGAGAAAAACAGTGTTGGATCCCTCCAGGCAAAGGAGACGGAAACAAGCCCTCTCTTCTCTGACACTCTTTGTGAGAGCTCCAACCTCTGGATAACAGAGGCAGCTCCAACAGGACTGACTAGACGTATTTTACAGACAATTGGTGATTATTCATTTTGTGCAGGGCCTGAGCTGAGTGTGCAGCTGATTGGCATGCTGGCCAAACAGACAGAGGCTACTGCGGGAACACCTCACCTGTGAATCCCTGCAGCGATGAGACATCTATTCAGTCCTAAGCCACACACTCACTCTGAGAGCCTGCCAATGCCTCCAAGCAAAGTTTAGCCTCTTATGAGCTCAAAGGTCAGGAATGCAACCATCACCAGTAGACACATCAAGCACAACTTATATTTTATTGGTTTAATTTCCAAGATAGTTAAAAATCAGACTGAAGAAGAGTTGCATAGCATAATCTCTGCAATTTATGAGGAATAATCAAATTTTTAATGCAGTCCTTCATTTTGATTTGTGTATAATTTTGAGGGAAGGATGACCTAAAATTTTGACCATACTTTGAAGGGAGCCATTGAAAGTATATAAATCCTAAACTGTATCTGAAATATCTCAGTCATATCAGAGTACACAGAGCTCAGAAGCTTCCCCTAAAAATACTGATTTCTGTTTTGTGATTTCAGCCTCCTGGCTATTATTAGAGATTGTAATATTCACCATTTTTGCCTTGAGATTTGAAAAGTAGCTAAGTCCCACAGAGAATCAAATGTGTTTGAATAATTCATTGCAAGGAAATATGGATTTGGTTTTCAAATATATAGAGGATTTTCTACATACAGTACTCTGGAAATACCGTATTAGGTACATTTATTATCCATAGCAGGCAAACATATATCTGCAATTAGTCCAAAGACTTCATTTTGCAGTAACTGGGAGTATTTAGTTGAAAGAGCCTGCATTCATTTGAAATGGTCTTTTTTCTATATACGTGGAAGGTTTAGAAATACATCCAAATAGAACATGTAATCTTTCTATACAGTGTTTCAAAGTATTTATGCCCTTTTTGTACCTGCAGTACCTGGGTTTGCAGTACGTTAAACTTCTTCTTTCTTTGAAATTTATTTCACATGATGGGAGGGATGTTCTTTCTACAAACTTACAGTGCATGTAATTTAAAATAGGCTCTTCCTATTTCAAGATTTTCCACTGAGTTTTGGCACTGAGAAGAATTTGTCTTCATTGATGGAAAGACATATCAATACTGGCAGGAACATTCCACTTACTAGAAGGGAAATATTATCCTTTGCTAAGATGAAAGATTTCTTATGTATCTTCCATCAATCTGAAGCGTTGTGACATTTCCTATCACTGTAACACAAGAATGTTCCTTCTGGGAAATGCACAGTCTATACTAATGAGTGTGTTCATACACCAGAGGAAATCTTTCTTTTCCCCTCATAAAATGGCAAAATTATTCTTAATCTAATGTTACTAAGCTCCAGCAGAAAGAATGTGTAATTGCCTGTTAATAATAGGTCAAAATGACCAAGCATGACATTTTTAAAGTTCAAATCCTCTCATCCATAGTTATCATACGTTGCATTACGGCTATTCACAAACAGTATTTGTCAAGCCACTGTGAGCCAAAGTGACTTATTTTGTAGTAAATCCAATAACAAGTGAAGCAGAGCTTGTTGAGGTTTGCTTTCAATTTCCTTTTCTAACTTCTGTGTAATTTTAAACAAATGGCACAGTAGTGAGGTGAAGAGGACAGAGCAAAGCACCAGAGATCACCTGAAGGTCAGCATACAACAGGTCTCTTCATATTAAATCTGTCAATGCTGAGATGGCTTTCTATCCAACAAAGCAATATTCTGCATGACAGAAAGGCTAAGAGTGAAACAGTTAAGAGATTTAGATACCAGGAAACTGCTTTTCAAGGTTCTAAAAAGCCTGCTCATTACAACCTCAGATAATTGACTATTAGACAGATAAAACCCCTGCTTTTCAAAGCAGACATCAAGGAGCAGACCTTGGGCTCTGAAGTAGAAGGTACAACTCTGAAAATTGATCCTCAGTTTACATACATATGAAAAACCTCTCTCTTTGCTGTATTTTACAGCAGATTGTGAGAAACAGATAATGTCTCTTCTCATTTCCATTACAAAGCTCTGCTCAGAGACTGTTCCAGCTCAAGTGAGTAAAACCAGTTCTTCAAAAGAACAAAAGAAAGAAGAAACCATTACATAAAAAAAAAAAAAAAAAAAAAAAAGAGAGAGAGAGAGAAAGAAGAAAGACCGTTTTTGAATTCTGATTTGTGCTTCCCTTTTCCAGTTGTACCCTGCTCTGTGGTAGTTGTCACTCTCCTTTCAGAAGGACTGTTTGACCAACTCTTTCACAAAGCCACCTGCCTTCCTCCAGGGATATGCTCAAAAAACTCAAGGACTGCTTCAGCCAGAAGCAGTTTCACACAGCTGGAGCCAAAATTGCCCCAAGAAAGTTCTAAACCATATTGGATGAGAGTTCTGAAGGTGCTTTTAATGGGGTCAAAATTTCACTTCCCAGATGGCAAGAGAGCAGCCAATTTAGGAGAATTTCTTCTTCCAGAAGGAATTCCTGGAAGCATAAAATTGCCCCATGGCTGGCTGGACACATATTGAGGGTCATAAAACATCTGGCCTCGATGTATTCAGGCTTGCAGTACCTTTCTGTGTGGGTTTTTTTGCTCTGTGGCTTCCTTTATTTATTTTTTTAATTTTCACAATAAGTAATATTCCTGATATTTGCTCTCAGAAATCAGAAAGCCTTAGTTTTATTTAGGAGCTTTCAAGAGCCTTCTAAGGAGGGCACTATCAAATGAACAAAGAGTAAGAAAAAAGAATACTTTGAGCTGTTTGTGATGGAGAATCATCTAAACTTTCAAGAGTTCCCTTAAGTGGCCATTAGAGACTGCTCAGGACAAACAAAGTTTGTATAGAAAATTACTCTTTTGGTTGAAAAATCTCTAATTAGAAATAATGTGTCAATATCCACAAATATGTAAGAAAACAAGAGTGGGGGAATCATCCAATCACAGAATCATGGAATGGTTTGGGTTGGAAGGGAACTTAACAGGTCATTTACCTCCAACCCCTCTTCCAGGGGCAAGGACATAAAAAAACCCCAGAGAAGTCATCCCATAAAATTAATCAGATGGAAAAGTAACAAATGGAAATGAGAGAAATAAGTTGAGAACAATTGGATGGAATTCCTGCACCAGGAATGTGTTTTGCAAATGGCATCCTGAATCTTCATTGATTTTTGAGACTTGTTGACATCCTCACACATCACTTCTGAAGGGGGAGACACAGATTTCCCAATAATTCTCTCTTTTCTGATGCTTTTATACTGCCTACACATCACCTTCAGTTTCATTTTTGAAAAGCTGAATGCATTGCTACTCTCACGCTGCTCTCCCAGTGTTTCCTTCCCACCCACACTGTTTCGAAAATATGTCTTGCATCCTCTCTCCTCATTGTGGTTTTAACAAAGTAGCATAAGGAAGTAGAGTATTGTTGTATTTACTTTCCTTCATTGAGATGTGGCTTTCTGACAACTAAGTCGGACTTGTTTTGGGAGTCATCCACCAGTAAAACTTGATCAAACCTGTTGCATTCTGAAGCAATTGTGCAAAATAGAGTTATGGCTGCTGTAACCTAATCACAAGCAAAAACATGTAGGTGAGCTGTAATTATCAAAAGTTTTGCCATCTGATAACATTTACAGCAAACAGAAAATTAAAAGACTTAAACCAGCAGCAAATGAGTGGAAGTCTGCTTTCTTTTTTTCTTTTTTTTTTTTTTTTTCTTTTGAGTAACTGACTACTGAGTTTTCCCTGAAGATGCATAAACATTTCATCTCCACCAGAGAATCTATCCTGAACATTTTTCTTCACTGGATGGTGGCGGCTGAATTTCTGTATTCTCCTTCAGCACTGGAAGTACTTGGGACCCAACTGATAAAACACCTGAAAAGGATGAGTGCAAGGGCTGGTTCATCAGGTATATGCCGAAGTTTGTCTGAAAAAAACCAAAATATTTATTAAGATATAAAGCATGTTAGAGTAATCAGATCAATAGATGATCTCACAACCCAGATATGTTTGGAAGAACAATATTGCTTTAAGAATAAGGAGGTATGTACTATGTGCATGTAATTAAGAACATTCTTAACTCATTAACTATAATAGACTGGTAAACAAAAACTAAGCCCCTGCTACTCAAGAAGAATACCTTAAGTAAGAGGATAAAGAATGTAGTATTTCATCATGAGCTCCATAGTATCATGTATGTAATTTACACTCACTCACAATCTTGTTATTTAATGACTGTTCTGGCTTCTTGACAAATGCAGTTGATGCATTATCACAAACAAAGGCTATGCAGCGTGAGAACACGTGTGTTCCAACAGCAAGGAAGTCTTGCATTTTCTACCAGGAATTATTCACTTTGTTAACAAAACTTTATTCTGTCTAGCCTGTGTGAATTTCCCTTTATTTGTTTTCATGAATATTTCAGTATGTTTTATAGAAAATATTCAGAAAGTTTGTTTTATTAGGTCTCTTCTTATCTGTCATTACTCCTTACTTGTGAATACATCCTACATAAATATCAGAAATACTAAGAATGTGTCTTTGTGATACTGACTAATAAAGAAAAGAACAGAAAAACCACTTAACCCACTGACCATGCAACCAAAAACCTGATCTGAGTGTCTGCACTCTTCTGTGTGCTCTTGATCTGAAGCAGTTGAATGTTACAGCTGTAGCTGTATACAGCTAGGTGTGATCTGAAAATTTCACAGGAGATTGGTGTGGTTTTGTGGTTTTATTTTCCAACAGCGGAGAATTTAGAAATATGCAAGAAAAAGACTTGTCATCTCATGATAATATTTTCCAAAGGATTAGATAACAGTTAATAAAAAAAAAAAATAAAGTAGGAAATAAAGAAATGCTGAAGGCCATATTAAATAGATAACTGATGTTTAGACTTCAGAATGTCTTCTCAAACTGAGGACCTTGGAAACCCAGTACTAATTTTCTTGTCCCTTTTTACATGTTTCAATAAAAACTATTTTGCTTTGCTAGACTATAATCAAAATGTACAGGTCATTCTAAAGTGTAAAATAAATAAATAAGCAAACGAAATTACATAAAAACAAAACTCTATTATCCTTCTCTATTTCCTGATTACATTTGCTACCATTGTTCAGATTGATGACTGAGGGAAATTGAGGGAATTACATTTAGAGCAGGTTTAGAAAAAAAAATATTAGGTAAAAGGAATTGCAATACATTTAAAAAATAGTGTTAGGTGAATTTAATGGAACATATTTGACAAACTAAATATAAAGGCAGTATGTATTCTCCTGTTCTTGCACTGTATAATTAAAGATACAGCAATGAGGTAACATGGAACAGATTTTAGTCTTTGAAGAATTAGCAAGAGGTAAGACTGAGACTTATGCCAAAGTAAAAAAGATCTATCAAAAAATGGCCTCAGACTCTGAATTTGAGTCTTTCTGTTTCATTTGTAATCCTAAACTTCAAAAAGAAAACCAGGACCCAAGCTGAGGGGTTTTTTTGCTACTTCTGCTATTCATTCATCTCATTGGCATGTCACATATTTGGGTATGAGTGGACTTCTCAGGCCTTCCCTATCACTGACACTTTTTGGATAGCAGTGATCATAATAGTGTCAATGCTTGGTGGACACAGGGAATATCCTTATGGTTAGTTTTCTAGTATTTAATGCTGAGGAACAACTGCAGCACAGTAAGATCACAATCATCCAGCACAGTGACTGTTGGAACAACCGTGATGCTAAAATGGTAAGTTAGTAACAGTTTCATTTAGAATATTAAAGCACACAGTATTATTTTTCCATTCTTTCCACAGTTAACAAGCTGTGGTTTCTCTATTGGCATAAATTATGTGTTTCTCAAACTTATTTATATTTACTGTATTGTCATATTGATTTAACATAAATTGAGAATAAAATAAATCTGGGTAGATTGTTCACTGTGGAGAACTTAATTTACCAATTTTTCTATTATTGTGAATAATTATTTATTGTTATTATTATTTTGAATAATAATTTTTAAATGCACAGAATTATTCAAGAAAAGGCATGTGTGGAATTGTTGACTTTTTTTTTTTGTGAATGTTCCTAAGACCAAAATTTAGCTAGTGATTATCAGAAGGGGATTTAACATCTTTTAAGTAAATTTCTCTGTTTTTTTAATAATTACAAATATTGACTCAGCAACTACTGATAACAGCAATAACACACACAACCTCCCCATCAAACAACCACAAAAGCTATGCATCTGCCACTTGAGCTCTGTTTCAAGAGAAAGATAAAATGTAGAAATCAGCCTTTCTCACATTTCACTGAAGAAAAATGAAGCTTTCAGACTCAGAGATTATATCCTGCAGAGTTATTACAATGAAACAGCGTAATCTCTCCCTGCTGCTCCTACCTTCTCCTGACTTCAAGAGCATTTTACTCGGCATATAATCTCCCCAGAACACACCAAAAACTGGGCAGGGAGTGCTGGACTGTGAGCTCCATGGTTTTATCTGCTCAGTATTCTGATGGCAGTAGAGACTCTTTCCATCACTGTTAAACTTCACATGGACAAAAAATTGTAAAGCGCCATGATTAGGAAAAAGCACAACACTTCACTGCTGAGAGGAATAGAGAAAACATACTTATTCTTGCCAACAGTGAATCATATGATAGTCATCACACTCACTTAAAGGAGGAGCTATGAAATGTTGTCATTCCTGCATGTTGTTTCAAGTTCATTTACTGGATTAACAGTAGTATGCTCTGCACAGATATCCACTGACAGAGAAATACCCCGGTGCCCTATCTCCTTTTGTAAGACAGAAACCTGAGGTGCTACATCTGACAAAGGCTGAGGTGAGATGACTTCAAGCTACAGCTCCTGAACAATCAGTTAACATAGACCAGAACTTGGTACAGAAATACCTTAACAGAATGTGTAACAAGCACATAAATCATACTGCATGTTAATACTAAGCTTTGGATGGATGAGTTCTGGATTTTGCTCCCAGATGTAGATATCAGCTGCCATCTCCCAGCAGATAAATTTACCTGTTCAGGTTTGCTTATTTATTCATACAATAACATAACCTCCCTCTCACGCAAAGGTTTGGGAGGTGCAATTATTAAAAGTGATTTTTTTTTTTTTAAATGTAAGAATGTTTCATCAGCTTTAGATTCACCAAAACTTATTAGTAAAGCCTGACAAAATAGGAGAGTGGAAGTACTCAATTTCAACATGCTGACTGTTTATACTGGTTAAAAGGAAAATTTGTAAGTTGGTGTGCAAAAAACCCATATGTTCAGTTGAAAATATCTGGACAGGAGAATGTTTTCTTAAGAACTGATTTTTCTTTGCTTTACCTTAAATGCATTTTCCAATTCAACCACCAATAAGAAAATAGAACTATATTACTTCAGAGGTCTATTAATTACAACAATCATTGTTTTCAGGTGTTACAGATATTTGAATGGAAAGCATTGCATAGTTAAAGCTCTGCATTACTATAAAAATAATGATAATGATGCATAAGATATGAGAAGTCATTTGCTATCCTTGCTAACATCTCAGTAAGCAATCCAAAGGCACAGCATCTAATTCTGCAGGATAAGAAATTGTCCCAAGGCACAATGAGATACATAAAGGAGAATCAACAGCCCACTGGGAAAAAAACCCCACAAGCCTTTTAGTGTATGAAGGCATGTGCAAACATAATGGATTTCCCTTGATGTACAGCTGCTATCCATACATTTAGACTGGGGCAGACTGATAATGCAATTCCCTTTGCTACCTTGACTGTAAGTCCCACCTTATAGCACTGCTGCAAATCTACCCACAGGGCTTCTGCTATTGTTAGTGCTGTACTCATATGCAAATTCTCGAAGACAGGCAAGAATTCAATGTTCTCCATTTTCCATCCATGTGTGTTTTGCATCAGGTGGTGAGACATGTGAAACAGCATGTGGCTATTTTTATGCCATTTGCTTAATGTAGTTATCTAGTCTTTCATAGTCTCCTGCAGTAACAGAGAGCACTCTGTCACACAAGAGATCTTATTTTCCTTTTCAGTCAAAAATTACAAAGGAATCCTTAATGAGTGTTTCTTCAGAAAGCAGTGCTCAAGTTCACTTTGTAGAGGTGTTTGCAACTTATTTCAAGCAAAGACATAAAAGGCTTCATAAAAAGCAACTGGCTAGGCTTCAGCACCATTCTTTATGTATATCAGGAAACACGCAAATTGCCTATGTGGCTAGTTACAGTAGCTGGTTCTGACTTTCCACTGCAATCCATCTATGCAAAGTTTCAATCTTTCAGCTTGGAGCAACAGGATCTCAGAGTCTCGGAGGGATGGAAAAAAACAGGATTTCAGAAATAAATATTGAACTACCTCTTACTAATCTTATTTATCTCATTATTGAAGTTCACTGGCAGTGCTGCTATTTGGGCTACAAGTCTGATAAATTTCAATGTATTTGTATAGGTTGGTGTTCTTGGAAAAAAACAAAACAAAACAAAATGGTAAATATTGACAGCTAGCTCACTTTTGTATGTGCAGAATCTTTAATGTTTTGACAATCAAATAACTTCAACAGCCTTTCAAAAAGCTGGGAAGTTAGCTTAAATCTTATTTTGTTGCAATAGTTTCTTTTGTAGTTTGAATCAGATTATCGACAGATGGAAGCAAACACTGCTAAATTCCTTCACTGAATCTGCATCTGATTAAAAAGAAGAAAATGAAGACTATTAGATGACTCCATAGCAGAAAAGCACATCCTAGATTCATGAGTCACCAAAGGATTAGCTGTGCAATTTAACACAGTCATATGGACTCGATGTTCTTTCTCTCTCCCCACTGTGAACTGTGAAAGTTTTGGATCAATGTTCTGTTCTAGGCCTGCTGAGCATGCTGAAAATGTCATAGTCCTCTGGTGCTATTCACTGATAACCAGCTGGTGATCATCACCCCACAGATGGCTTGCAGCAGGGATGGTCTCTGAGGTCTTCTCAGGCCAGTTCAGGCAAAACTACCGGTTCAAACTATTTCTTTCAGCTGTCTGCTAACCCGGTGAACTCAGCCTTACGCAGAGCAGGGCATGCTCACAAGATCCCATCTGCCAGCAGCACTGAAGGCTGGGAAAAATTAAAAAAAGCTGAAGGCCTGTTTCTCTGCAGCGCGAATATCGCGGCGCTGCTGAGGGAAGCAGAGCTCTCCCCCGCGGTGATCAGCAGCGCTGTGCTCTGCCTCGCCTCGCCAGGCGGCTTTCATCCGGCGCCAGCTTGTTCTCAAGAGGCTGGATTGCTCTCCTTGCCTTAGTCCTGTTCGAACGAGTTACTCGGTTCTAGGAGTGCTTGTATCAAGAAAATCTTTGCATTGCTGAGTTAATCAAAATGAAAGAGGAGCTCATCTTTGCTGTGGGAAAGGTGCAGAAGGTGCTTTGCCTCTCCTGAGAGTGTGTATCCCGGGTAAGTTTTTGTAGCCATTCTCTCCCCGAGTACAGAGTGCTTTCCCTCTACAGAGGATTTAAGTCGTGATCCAATAAAACCCACGTGAGCAGAAAAAGTCCTTTGCATACCACACCCCATGTGGCAGCTGGGCAGTGTCCCTGCCCAGAGTGCCCAAACGTGCTCTGAAGCGTCCCAGATGTTCCAGCTGTGGCTTAGCATTAACCAGAGAGGGATGTTGTCCTCAGACTACCCACCATGGCACATGTACGGTGGTGATCTGGATACCAGAGCCTGCTGTGCAACTCTAGGTCACCTCAGGTCAGCGGGAAGCTTTGCCTAGACAGCCAGCCCTGCCTGCGTGCCTCTCCCCAGCTCACTGCACCAGGCGGCGGGCTCTGAGACGGAGCCAGAGGAGCTATTCACCAAGGATAACATTCAAGGGAAATGTAGCCCTTTGTTTGCTTAATGAGTCACTGAGACGAATCAATTTATTAGGTTTTTTTTTCCCCAAACTTATAATGCACTATTTGTAAGTTGTTTGTGCATTGTTTGGGTGAATTATTTTAAACCTATTTGTCATTGCTTTGCCCCAGAGCTGTGCCCAGTCTCTGGTGTTTAGTAGGTATTGGTGAGGTGCCTGAACCCTGACTCGCTGAGGAACTTTTACAACACAAGTTTAAAGAACAGGAAGCAGTGAATTTTGAATAAAGATTTTCAGCTACATAAATAATTCTGAGGACATTTGTGAAGCTTTTGGGATGCTGAACTGCCTAGCCATCATCTGAGCACTCTCAACCCTAAGAACAACACAACCCTAAGAAGCAGAAGGACTTCAAATGAACTTCTGTATTTCACACTTACTCTCCAGTCACTCTCTTAAGTAATTATTCTCCACTTTGACTGCATTCATATTTGCTCAGTTTTTCCTGTTAACTTGTTTCTCATGGTAAGAATAAAGTTTAGTCTTACAGGCCAACTGTGTAATTTCAAACACTTCCAGATTTTGCTGCATATTTGTTTTCTTAGAATATATCAGTGCATCAGCTATTGTTTTTAAACCAAAATAAATATGTTGTAAGGAAGTACATACTGAATAAAAGCAAGTACTGTTAAAAATAATGCATATTAATAGTCCCATTCTAATAAAAAAGTGTGAGTATTTTATGGAAATAAACCAGGTCATATCTGGGTTGTAAGCGCATCCTCTTTTTACAGAAAAAAACAAACGGTAACAATTAGTACAACAATTTAACTGTGAATATTCTCTCAACAGATATTTCACTATGCATGCCACAAAGTCACTACATCTTTCATTACAGCCATTTTGAAGTACCGTACTGACCTTTCTGCCTCTGGCAGCAGACAGAGACTGCAGAATTTCTTTGTTTCGTTCCCCAGATTGTTGATCAATGCAGATTATTTGACATCTGCTACATGGACCTACAACCTGAAATTTTAGTTAAAGAAAGTTCATGGCTGTATATCAAAGCAGTACAACATTGAACAGTACAAGCTTCTGACCATAATAATATCATAAATGCATACCTTTTGCATACCTTTCCTGTGGGCTTTTTACACTTTCATTACGTAAAGGGTCAGGCCTGTTCACGTAATGTAATAGCCACATTTTCAAAGGGTCTACTTGCAAAAATCTCACTGAATTTTTATTCACTTTTTTCTTTTTTTTTTTTTTTCTTTTTAAGGAAAACTTTCCCAGAGACAGAATCTGAGAAATACCAGACATTTACATATTTGTATTTCCTGATGGCTTCACTTCATCTCCAGGTTAGCAGGGCTGCTTGCCCAAAGGAGAACCGAATACAAAATTAAGCTAGTGCCTCAGGATTCAGCCCAAGGAGGATTGTTTTAGTGCAGCTGAGGTGCACAATATCTTTCTTATATTCATGGTGCTTGTAGATAATCAGAATGTAAAATGTGAATTTTCACCATTTTACATAAACAGAAGCAATAATGGATCGATCCTCTATCCTTTATAATATATGGTGTTAGCATCCAGATGTAATAATTCTTAAAGTTAACTGTTGTTTGAACTAAGATGTGCTTTTAAGGGTGGGGGAAGCAAACCTGCAACAAATTTCTTATTAAGGCATTAAAATGAAGGACAATATATTGCACTTTCACTCAACATTGCATTCCTAACTTTAGCAATGCTGTACATTATAGAAACTAACTCTTACACTATTCCAGTATACAGATTCTATTTTTGTAAAATGTGTCACAAATTTCAAATATGATAAGATACTTCAGTTTTTTGAGATGCATCTAGAACTGCTTGTACGACTCTTCAGTGTAATCATCAAAACCATAATAAGCTTTTTTTCAGAAAATTATTTTCCACAGCTTTATTTTCTTTATTAAAAGAGTAACATGCTTTGTTACATACTTTTAAAAGAGAGCATGCTTTGCTTTGTTCAACAGCTTCTTTACTGTTTTCTTTCCATCAAGGAGCATTAGCATAATTTCTACTGCTACTACATCAGTATCTAAACAAGGACCTAGCAGAGACAGGAAAAGACAATACCAGTTCCATAAGCCTTTCTATTTTTGGCTTGTGTTCCTAAAGTATATCAATGCCAGAAACAGGAGTGCCTTTTTATTTTGCAGTTTTACAGTAACTTCTCAGCAGGATCCTCAGCTGAGCTCCCTAGTGTAACTCCAGCCTCCAACAAGCTATACACCAAAGGTTTTGTCCATTTTGTTCCTCATCTCCTACTTACATGAAGTTTTCCTCAATTTTCTATAACTCATAGCTTACTGATCAAAGTACACATAAAAAGAGAGCAGATCAGCCACGCTTTCCATCCCTGCTCAAAAACTTTCTTACAGTATGCTGATCAAAAATAAATAGGAGTGATGTCTATCACAGCTTCTAGATTTGACCTTGGCACTTCTGTTATTCTCACCTTAATTATTAATTAATAACTAATTATCATCTCTAAGAAAACAGTGAATAAGCCACTTCTTTATTTTAGGCAATGAATCTTCAAATACGCATTTCACATCTCAGGGCTAGACAAATTCAACAGAATTTGTAATACATGTGTACATCATTCCCTTAGGTTTCATGTGTAGCTTCTACGGATTTTTTGTTAAGAGGTTTTTCTGAAGAGAATGCATTTGCAAACACATTTAAGTCTTCAGCATTTTCCTCACAGTACAAAGCACATCATGTTGTTAGATATATTATAAAGTACAACATGCCAAAAAACCCTACCAGACTAGAATTAATTACATTTCTTTAATGGGGATTAAGGCAAGATGTATACAACAGAGGGTAATAGACCATGAGAGTTCACTTGTATTCATGTCCAGTCTTTTGGCAATCAGTTGCTTGATGTGCTTGAGGTTACATTTGGACTACTGTGCCTAACAGTAACCAGTATTCTCTCATGACATGTTGGTTAAATATTTGCTACAAACTCTACCTCAAAACAGTGATTGTTATTCAGTTTAGATGGACAGGGGTGGGAAATGTTATGAATTATGAAGGTTTTTTTTTAAAAAGGTGTGGAGAAATATATCAAAATCTCTCAATTATATTGAATTATGTTTCTCAAAGGTCACATCGCATTAGTTGGTTTTTTTTTTTCACACACTTCATAAATTTCATCTGCACAACCCATGCTGCCCATGTTCCAGTCAAAGCCTTGCAAAAATTAGTCTGTCTCCAGGGGTCAAAACACATTGTGATAGACTGGGATGAGGACAAGAGAGAAAAGTTCAAACCTGGAATTGCAGGGCACCTATTGAAATTTCAGCCCACTCTTCTTCCTCAAAGGACTCTGGTGCATTGACAACAATGTTGGCACGGAAACGTTGGATTAATTCCTGTATTTCCAATGGCTTTTCCAATCTATCTCATAGAATTGATAGGCAAAAAGAAAAAATAAGATTTGTTAACTATTTCTGTATAGGTGTTTGTGTTGTAAAAATGTAGTGCCTCATATGATTAAGTAAACACTTCTCCAGAATAATCTGGCCTGTTTTATTACAAAGGCTATGGAAATGGCACAAGGTATTTAACTACAATTTGTAGTCTTTGATCTATGATATGTAACCCTCTAGGTGGCGTCTTTAGAGGTGTAACCTGGAACTGTATGTATGAAAGTATATAGACAGGTGACTGTGAACAATGCTCATGAGAAAATTCCTTATTAATTATCATATGTAAGGGTAATGGCAACAAAAGAAAGGATCTTTTGAGTTAACAATCATTTGACTTGTTAATTGTTTCTAGAAACAGAAGCTTCTAGAACAGAAGGCAAATAGAAACTTATTCTGCACATGCTGCAATGGCAAAAGAGACAAAACCAGCAGTTGCTGAAGGTTAAAAAGGGCCAGTAAAGTAGTTTTATGAGAGAATATATCCCGCATATTATTATTATTTGCCTTTGGGATGCAGCAGATTGCACCAGAGGATAGGTGTTCAAAAAAAAAATATTAATCTCTATGTGGTGATATTTCCACCTCTTTACAAGCATTTGAACTGCCAGTGTTGATTTGTGTCACTGTGGAGAACATATACGAGACAGACAGAGCAGTGGACTGCATACAAATATGAGAAATCTGGCTGCATCTTTGAATTGTCATTCATTCTTCTTCTACAGGAGAATTTGACCAGTAACAGAGAAAAAAGACAGCCCTAAAATTTGCAAGAGAGTTCTCTCAATGCCATTGTTAGTGGAGTTGAACATTTCTTTTTGCATTAGGTATTAAGGACATGAAGAATTTTTGATATTCCATCAGCTGTAGTTTGACAGCTTTTTTTACAGCAGAGGCAGAATCCTGGATAAGTAATGGAGTTTAAAAGTTTCTGTTCCAAAAACAACAAAAACAACAACAAAAAAGTCAGGACACAAATTAAAATGAGGAAAACCATGCAAAATCAAAATAAAAGGGAAAACTTCACATCAAGCAGTCTTAGCAGAAGAGGCATGTACTGTGAAAGAAAGAACTGGGTTTTATTTAAAATAGTCCGAATGATCTTTAGCAGACAAAAGTGCATAAGGATAAACTGCCTGTGCAGACTTAGTCAAACCACAGAAGTCCAGCTCCACCAAGCCTCCACTGTTCACAAGGGCTCCAGAAGGATGGGAGGTGGGGTGGGAAGCTGAAGGACTACAGGTTTTCCCTCTCCCACAAGTAATCCCAACAGATGAGACACAATTTGTAATAACTGCAGGAGGTGGAAACCAACAGGAGGTGTAGATTATGCCAGTGGTCATACAAACAAGGAGGCAAATAACAGTTACTACGTTCAGTTATGCTGCTGTGCTTCCTGGCTTTGCTGTGGGCTCTTGGACCTTGGGTGCTATGTAGCCTTTAGTTTTGAATGTATTTTTTTAAATATAAGTGCCTGTCACCCCAGCCGTACTGGTGTGGTCATCAAAAATCCCAGCAACCTCAGAGCTGGGCCTGCAGTGTCCTAAACCAGCTGATAACTTCTACTAATGCTGCTTCTGTCTACCACTCTTGCATAAGTAAAGCCAAATTCAATTAAGAAATGAAATTATTCCAGTCCTGAAAGCAGTTTAAAGTATTTCTGTTGTGCATGTTTATTCTAAATCTTAATCATTCCCATAGAATGATTATTCTAAGTCTTAATCATTCCCAAAGGAATAGTTCAGCCAGGAGTAAGATTTTCTATTTTTACCTGCCAGTTTATTTATGCTGAGAAAACCTATTTATCCTTGTTCTTCTGACAAATAGAAACTGGCTGGTTCCAAATAACCTCTTGCCACCAAATCATTTGACAAAAATTTCATTTAAATTTTTCTAAAGATGACTGATAGACAGATTATCTTCGTGGATTTAATCCAAATTTTCAGAAGTCATACAAGAATTAGGCATTATAGCAGTTTAGTAGCTATATATTTGTTGACCCCTGAAAGGTAACTATTTATAAATTTCCACATAAAACAGCTATATTGGTATCTTATGAAAAGATTCTGGAATCCAACATCACTAAGAGATATTTGGAGATAGAAGGCTCTTACCTTGCAGAAATGTGTTCTTTCAGCTGCAGGATGCTTGCCACATTTATCAGGAGGTATTGTGCTTCATTCACGAGAGAGAGTGAGATGTTTTTAGCAGATGACGGACCTAAAAAAAATCAATCCAACATTCTAAAATGACCATTAAAATTAGTAATTTCACCTCATCTTTCCTTTGACCTTACTTATTCTCATTAAAAATTTATTCATTTGGTTCTAGATACTAAGGGAAGACTCCAAGAATCTACTCAAACCTGTGAATGACAATGGCACAATGTATTATGAAACTGAGACAGAGTTGAGATTTTACGAAATTCATAAAACAACTTACAAGAGCAATAGCTATGTATTTTTGATGCTCTTTCAATTTCAATGGTCTTTCAGTTATTTTTATTACAAAATTTAGTCTCTCCAAAAAATATTTCATTCTTAGATTTTTCATGATCATTTTTCAAAATGATCACTGAGTTTCCAGCCAAATTACGGTCATGATGATAACCACCCCCCACTGCCCCCAGGCTGATGTATATGTACATTTTCACCAAATTTAAGAAGTAGAAGGGCAGCAAAAAGTCAGTTTGGGTATAAATGTACCTACTAGATCAATAGTGGTTGTCTCTTTCAGCCTTTATCGAGTTACGTACTCAGTAGGAAGTCCATAAGCCTGATGTTTGCATGAGGAAACAGATATTTTTAAGAATGACAACATACCTTCTGTATTTTTCTGATGTAACTTGCTTTTCATGTCTGAACTTTGTCTTATCAAGCGACACGGACGACCAAGAAACATAGAGAACCATCCAGCAATTCTTTCTCCACAGTCATATGTTTTTACCCTATAATGAGAAAAGGGGGACTTCAAATTGGATTGCTCAAACATGAATTTGTAAAACAGAAGGCAAATTGCAAAGATGTTTATTCTGCTTCTTTCAATACAAAATACAGAATCCGTATGGTCTGATGAGTGTTGGATGTGAAGTTACTCTTGAAGTTACATTCACGAGATCTAATTTAGCTTTATACAGAAAATTACTATGGAATAAAGGATTAAACAATCACAAAGTTAAAGATACTGACTCTGAAGTACAGTAAGTGGTGGCTCATATAACAACATTACAATACAGTACTATGAAAAAGTCAAGCTCTGGTCTGTGCTTTTTACTAAAACAGAGGGGAGTGATCTGAGATGAACTTAAGATTGCCCCTCTGTATATAATTTTGAATGATCCCATCAGGTGCAACGATGTCACTTCCCTAATTTAATTCATGTTAGTACAGACATTTCACACTAAAACATGGCTCCACTTAAAGAGCCCATGTATTTCTCTATCTAAAGATGATTTATATTACTTGTAAAATGTTTAGTGAGCTATGCAAGTTAGCAATAGAATTTCCTTCTTTACCTGGATGCAAGCTTTCCTAGAGGGATTTTGAGATTACCTCTCCCAGTCCAAGGAGGCCACAGATCAGACATTGAGAAGTGATCCTATTTGACATTAGATTCCTCAGCCCTGAGTAAACTTAATGTCGATCTTCCAAAACCCAGGCATTTAGTTTAAGTTAGTTGTCTGGGTTCCTCTCACAGATAATGGAAAGAAGTAAGTAGTTCCCATCTATATTAGATCTCAGCACGGGATGAATGTCACTGTGGGAGTGTTCAACTCTCTCTACTGACTACAAAAGGAGGTTTGACTGATACCAAACTTTAAAATTGCATAAGCAGGTAAGAGGAACGCAAATTCTAATGCTGATCTAGGGAGGACGATTGTAGCAAGGAAAGTGAAGTAGCTGTGGTCCTATGCTCACCTTATTGTCCTACTCATCCAAAGAAGTTAATCTGCATGGAGACCATCTGCTCTGTGAAACAAGTAAACCGCTACGCACAGCAAAAGATGCTAAGCCCAGGATTGAGACAGGAAGTAGCCTGGCTTTACAAAATGCTTTGTAGGGTTCAACTGAATTACACTGGTAGAAAGCCAGCACAAGTGAAATCAAAGAGATTTTATAATCCTGCAAGGATCAGGTATCTCTGCAGCACTTGTTCTGAATTTTGAATTATGGTGTAGCTTTGCATCTCTCTCCCCACTCTGAGACTGGACAGTTGTCAACCACAGCTGCATCTAGCCAGTGATGTCCTAGAATGGAAATGGTACTCTGATACTGTAAGATATAGGTATTGTGTCAAGAAAGAGGCCAAAAGGTGAATGTCCACATGAAATTTCATAGTCTGAACTGAGTGGTTCTTGTGTCCTTGCTGGTCACTGTGCTAGGGAGACGGCTGCTAATGAGAGGACATAAATGTTCCATGGTAACAGTACAAGTGGAAAAAATCCCCAAATATTTTTTGCCACCCTAACAGAGGTGCTAGGGGTATTTAAATATCTCCCAAGCCAATTGCCTCTAGTAGCCTATTGAGGACTAATACTGTATAAATCAGGAACATAACTTTGCCCTCTTTTTGTATACTTACTGTTTTGAGTCACTGTGGCTGAGTTAGAGACTCACACCATTCTTGGTTTTTCATCAAATGTCACGGTGTAATTTCTGTATCCCAAGACTTCTGTGTTTTCAAATTGCTTTCCTTTATTGTCAGACCATTTTTTGAGCATGTACCATCATCTTTTCAAGGTCTTAGTCAAAGTCATTCTGTTTTAGCTCAATTCTACTTGTTTTCTGTGTTTATTTTGTGGATTATAACTTTACATCTGTCAGCATTACATTTCATTTGGCACATGTCAGGCAATTTATAAAGGAGGGTCTGTTTCTCTCAGATTTTACTTGCTGTTTGCCTTGAGTTCCCCACTCATCTTTCTGTTATGTCATTTAGCTTCAGTGCGTTACAACTAGTCCCTCTGGTAGGGTAATTTATAGAACAAAAAACAAGGACAGATGAAGTCGGAATATTGATCCCAAGGGATATAATACACACAACAGGCTCAGTTCACCTTGTTCTTAACTACACCTTTGTCTTCTTCTACCACTGATACCCTTCCCTATCTCTTTGATATTGCGACCTGTCAGAGAGGGTTGTATAAGTATTTCAGAAGAGCAGCAACCTTGAGCATTTAGGTTATTCTGCAACATCAATAACCTTAAAAACACTCAATTCTACTTCCATTTCTCCACTGTTAGATATTATATCAGAAAGCCATGTCCCTCTGATGTGAGTATCACCTGTTGATGGACAACCCCTGCTGAGATGAAGACTAACACTGATTAACTACTTCAGAAGGGAAATTTGGGCTCATTAAACTTTAGTGGCTGCTGAAAAATTAAACTTCTTCACATGACTGCTTGCAGATTCTACATCACATACTTTTCTCAGTTATCTCAGTCTAAATTTAGAGTAAGCTTACAGAACTGGATGACATCACAGCATCAGAGTGCAGAAGTAATAAATGGAAAATGCCCTCACTATGGGTTTCTTTTGAATAAAAGCCTTTTACCAAAGACTCCCAGGTCCCACTGTTCATCTCAGACACTTTGCAGGATAGACCTCAGACCACAAATCACCTCTTGCCCTACTGCAAAGCACTGCTTTTCTCATATTTTTGGCCCCAGAGGTTCCCCTGCTGAAACACTGGAACATGGCATCAAGTACTGTTGGATCTCTGAGCAGTTTCAGAGCCTCATCAATGTTGTCCACTCATTCACCCTTACTTTCTGTTTATTTATTTGCTAATCAAAGTCCATTCTCTGCAATTTGCCTTGCATATCCCAGTTCATCACTCTGCCCTTTTCTTCCTCTTCAGAACTCTAAGCAGTTTTCCATGAAAATTTCCAAGTTGATACAATAAAAATGACACAGTCAGTTACATGAAATAGAAGCTACAATAAATAGTATGGCAGAAAATTTTATGCAGACAAAGAGAAAGCTAACCTAGGCTATTTTACAGCCAGTAATAGATGGGCTTACCATGGGGAGGCTAGGGATGAGTCAACACTAAGGGAAGTGGGACAGATGGTTAAAACAAATGACTCTTGGGTGAATTCCACTACCTGAGGAAAATACGCTTCTGAGAAAAAGATCCTCTTTATCATCTGGATAGTTAGTAGAAAAGAAGGAGAAGATAATTTTCTGCATGGCTCCATGGGGAAACTGCCAGGTCTTCTGATGGTTTGTTTATGTGTTACTCTCAGAGAAGCAAATGTAGAGGGTTAGAAAGAATTAGTATACCTTGGTTAAAGGAAGACATAAATCTTTAAGTAGCTCTTTAAGTGGCTCTTTGAGTTAGCAAGAGGTTCGCTGAAAAGAAACATAGTAGATAATGCAAATATACTTTAGGAGGGCACTTGATACGCTGCCACTCAGAAAACTTAATGAGGCTGGGGGAAGTTCTTACAAAATGTGATGGATAAACACTTAAGTTCACTGATAGGAAATAAATTTATTCATAGTGTTATATTTCAGTGCAGTGGTATGTCTCTTGATTAGAATTAATGTTATTTAACATACACATCTGCAATCATCCCAGGATTGTTAAGGGAACACTGATCAACATGGCTGGTCAAAATAAAATTAGAAAGGGTTGTAAATATGGAAAGCTGCTTATGACTTCAGAAGGTTCTAGCAATTTTGAATCCATACAGCATGAAATGGGTAAAGTTGCCGACATCATTACATTGAATGAGGGAACAGAATTCAAGTCCTGCTGAGGCCCTCAGTTGGCATTTGGAAGGAACTGGGGACACCTCTCCTTTTCTCATGCTTGGAGCAAGTGAAAAAACAAGATTTCCCTCATTCAAGTGAGTACTAAGAGAGTTTATTGTACTGTCCTTCCTCCCTTTTCCCATTTTTATTATTTTTCACTGTTTTCTATCAGACATGCCAGGCATGCCAAATTACCTGTTTAAATGTCTTCTCCTGGTCCACTAGAACTTTGCTTTCCACCTCCCTGCCTCTTTTTTAAGGATTTCTGCCCCTGTGTGTTCATCTGTTCATGTCTTAGAGTGTTACTACAGTGATTTTCAGCTTCAATACCCCTCTGCTCTCACTCACCTGTGTGAACAGACTTTACTCTCACAGACCACAGCCTCTTTTTCAGCATTGTCTTCTAGTGATACAGATATTGGGTCCATGCCTAGATGGGCAGAGAACGAGTCATATTTAAATAAAATTTTTATGAAAACTTGTAGGGTCATGAATTATTTTTGTCCCTGCTCACAATCTCAGCAGCCTCACAAACAGAAAATCAAAATATCCTTTTTTTAATTTTATTTTATTTTTCCTGCTAGAATTATATTCTCTGCCTGCAGGTGGCTCCAAATGATAAAGCAAAGTGTAAAGGCTGCAGATGACCTTAGTACTCAAAGCATATTAAGGAATATACAATTTCAGGTTTGATTAAATTCATTCTCTGTTTATCTCCGGCAAAAAAACAGGCACAGAATTACTGCCTTAGCTACAGTTTCTGTGGAAAGGATGAGTTTTCATTCTATTGAACCCTCTAGCAAGCCAGGAGATTACATTAAACACTGATGGGCTGGGGTTTTTTGGAGTAGTGGGATTGAGTGATTTGAAAGATGAAAGATGGAGGAAGGGAGAAAAGAAACAAGAAGCACAGTCTGTTCAAGGAAAGAAATATAATGTGCCAGAAAACTACAATTATTTAAAAATGAAATGTATGGAAACTGATAATGAGAGAATTATTCCCATCTATTCATCTCCAAGTTTAAACCAGCTGAGAAATCCTTAGTAATGGTCTACGTTAACAACTTCTTCCACATTTTTTTTATCTTGAACAAAATGAGCCAAAGATATGGAAAGGGTACTGTAGAAGCAAAAAGAAAAACTGTATTATTTTTCTCTCTGTTAATTGAAAACAATAGTCTTTAATAAAGAACAAAGGGTTTTACTGTGTGGCTGCAATGAATCCAGCTTTTCCATTATACTGTGACATGTACCAGCAAAGACTCTGACCCCCATTTCCCAACATTATAATAGCATGTTTTGATTTTACTTACTTCTTCCTGTTTACGCTATTGTAAAAGAAATAAGAATCAAGCCCTACCAGCTCTGTGATATGGTGAAATCAGTTGTTTTATTTTCTTCTGAAGAGTAATGAAACATAGATCAGATTCACTATAACTCAACTATCAGCTCTGTTCCATGCATGTTTTACAAAAGAGAAAGCAGTCTGCTTCTTTAGTTAATGATATTAGTATACTTCATAAATGAAGACAGAGGGGAAAAGTTAAGTTCACTCTAGAAAATAATACATGTAATAAATGCTTTGAGCTAGCCTGCAACAACCTGAAAAAGATGCCAATGTTATTATTTTATTGACTAGAACTAATGCTCTTGGATTTTGAAACAATTAAACATTAGTATTCCTTTCAAATTATTCTAATTCCATTCAAACTGGAAAAGATGTGTTTGACAGGTTTCATCCTGTATGTGCCCTTAGCTGTTATATCTATTAAAAATACTTTCTAAGAAAGCCATACTCAGAACATTTCTTAAAATAGAATTTCAGGGCTTTAAAAAGCCTTGCTTTCATACACCAGCAAATGTGTTACATTTTTATTGAACAGTACACATTTTACAGCGATGTTTAGGTCAGTTAAACATTGTTAATTACAATTTTAGTCTATCTTAAGGCAAAAAAATAAAGTACAATATTGCCAGTTAGTAAAATGTAAAAGCTGTCATTCTCCATGGTCATTTGCTTGATAATAAAATTCACAGATGTGCTCACAGTATTAATATAAAAAATATTCTTATCTTTATAGCTCCTATTTTCAGTCAATGAGAAAAATTAGAAGTCTGTTATTTCAATAGACTGAGATATAAACTATTCATGTATATTCTTTCATCATTGTATGCACTTAATTCCCATTATTTTTTTTGGCAGTAACACACGACTATTTGAAGGCACAATAAACTCCATAAAGTGTAATTAGTTGTTCAGTTTTGCTAGCATCTTTCTATTTCAATATTTTAAAGGGCCTCCTCAACACTCAAAATTTCTCCCACTGTGCAGTGGCAAATTAAGGCCCAACTTGCCAGAGCAATGCTGATTGTTAGCGAAAATGGAAAGAGAGAAATTAGTCTTCTACAGAAATGCATTCTCAGTCAAATTCTGTTTGGCTGACTTTTGTGTAGGTCAAGAACAAACCCAGTGCAATTTGTGCCACGATGCATTTGATGGAGCAGGACAAGAAGATTTCCCTTGATTTCCACTCAAGTAATAAGACTTCTGGAAATAAAGGCACTCTCCTGCCCACCTTTAAGTTGCTGGGAGCCTAACCACTAACAACTTCAGTTGAGACTCAATAAGTTGGTTTTCTTGATGGTGGTTGACTTAGAGTTAGATACACTGATTCTCTCTAAGTGGGTTCTGTCACAGCAAGGGTTTGTTACACTCTTCACATAAAAAAATAGGAAATGCCTGTTAAGAACCACATAACCTAAGAAAATAAGTCTGACAAAATTAATAAATGCAGTTTCTCAAAACTAAAATCTCACTCCCTCTGCTGAAGAAAAGTACAGCCAGTGAGAGACTAGGCACAAGCCCTTTCTCTCCCTCTGCTCTCACCCTCCAATCTCAGGGATCAGGGAAATACCTGGAGTTCCCTAGGTGCCATGCAAGCCAACTAGTTTTGCAGGCATGCCAGGGAAAGATCCTAAGCCTTCAGGCAGTTTTGGCCTTGTGTAAAGCTTTGCTCTGTTGTCCTTGCTACCCACAGTGGCGGCAGGATTGCACAGCTGGGCCAGTTAGACAGCCAGTCTGCTCATTCAAGTCTTGTTTTCACATGGGCTACACAGACACCCAACATGCAGGGGTTAAAGAAAGAACATGAAATGGTGTCTCAGCACATAGAAGATTCAGTAAAAGGTACTGAAGTAGTTACTGTCACTCTAAATCATAGTGACAATTTTATTTCCTTGGACAGAGAAGACAGAGAATATTAAACCATATTGAAAGGAAAAATAGCCATAAACAAATTTTTCACTAATGAAAAGTTCTAGAGGAAGAGGAAAGCATGTGCCTGGAGGAGGAGACAGAACAGACTCATTATGTTTTAAAGTGGCACAGATAAAGTCTTCGCCGTAATCTAATACTATAACAGCAAAATGATCTTTAAAAAGGCCCTAGCTATCTGAGATCTGCCCCACTCATATTTAGGCACTTACCAGAGGCACCTATTCCAGCAGCACAGTTGCCTTAGGCAACTCTCACTTTTGGAGAGAGACACCTCCAGATAGCAAAACACGCTCTGGATGGAGATCTGTGCCAGAGCCTGCTCTCACAATGAGAAAAGCGCAGATGACAGCAGCGAAACTGGCAGAGAAAACAGAGCCATTACAGCCTCCTTGCAGAGGAGCAGGAGGGAGACAGCTGGCTTGGCTGCAGTTGTCACCCAGTCAGCTGGGATCCTCTGGGTTTTCACATTCCCTTGAGTAAGGGGATTCAGTAAATGAGAAGAACAGAGAAACTCTGCATGGGGACCGTGAGTGCAGAGGGAAGAGAGATGGAGGAAACAAAACTCATCTTGGAAAGATGCATGCTGCTGTAGCTGAGGAAAGGCAGTTTGGGTGGGAGGCATTCCATGGGAGAAATAAGTCACAAAGCAGCCAATCTGGGAGAGACTGGAGGCGGCTGTTAGTCAGCAGGCTAAGTGCTACAAATCTGAAATAAAATTAGCCACTGACACAGGTCAGTGAAGGCTCTGAGCTGCAGAACACCCCAACTGGCTCAACCAAGTTCTGCTGTTCCTTGCCACATGGATTGCTGCTCCAGCCTCACATGAAGTATTCAGCCTCAGGTCCTAAATTAGCAACAAACTACTGACAGGCTGGTGAGAGTGGTGACAAAAGCAGCAGTGATTAACATGTGATTTTCAAGGAAAGAGTCAACTTATTAAATAAACTTGACTGCCGTGAAATGATTTTAAGTGGTAGATACAACACTGACACACGTATGTGAAGGGATAAAATAAAAAATTAAAAATTTAACACCAACAAACAAATCATACATTTAGACTGCTGGAAAGAGGAAAGAAAACAAAATAAATATTTGAACGACTTCCTGCAGATTTATCTGCCTCAGTCTTACCCTGGTGGTTTGTATGTGCTCCCATCACTGTGCTATCTTAGGAGCAGTAAGCTCTGGATTAGACTCCCCAAGGAAAAGAGAGCCATTATCTCACTGTCAAGCATTACAAAAAATGCCGCAGGTTGCAAGAACACCATGAGAGTAAAAACCAGCAGGACTATCATAAAAGAGATCCCAGACCACCTCATGGGCTAGGATTTTTGTATCTAGAGTCAATATACAAAGAATAAAATGACTCTGCCCTTACATGCTGGACGTACCTAAGCAGGCTATAGGTAAATGCCAAGGACATTCTTGTTAGAGAACACTGGAGATCTGACCAATTACTTCTGGTTGGAAGAATAATCCACAGACTTGGGCAATCAATTCTGTATGGAAACGGTTCTCACTTACATCAGAAAGAAGGTGACTGACAGTGAAAACTCCAAAAATGACACAAAGTAAAAAGTTGGATTTAAGGGTGAATTTCACCCTGGCCCTAACTATAACAAGACATTGCAAATCTCAGCGAGAAATGGGTGCCTTGACTGTCATTTTTGTCTGAGAAAACTTCTTCCTGACTCTGAAGTATGTCAGTACAGGTGTTATTGAAAGGTGAACATACTAATGGATATGCACTTGTCTGGACAAGTACTAGGAAGGAAAAAAAGGACAGACTTAGAAGAGCAGAATGAAGCAATCAAAAGGCCTAACAGAGCTCAAAGTCTGAAAATGTGAAGGACAAATGGAAACAGTTTTGATAAGACATCACACTGTGTCTGCAAGCAAGAATTATGTGTAGAAAGGGAAATGGTAAGGAACTGAATTTCCAGAAATAACTAATTCTGAAGCACTTGATAATTTAGAATTTGGGGGAGAAGGCTGCCTATGCAGCTGTACTACAAAAAATTGAGGTGCAAGGTTCTTCACATAGAATGAAAATTAATTACTGATACCTTTTTAAATAAATATAGAAGGAAGAGTAGAAAGCAGCAGTGTGTGTACCAGTGAGCAAGTCTGGAATCCCTAAGAGAGTAGATTGTGTTTGGGATCAGAAGTATACAAAAAAAATCACATGATTAGTGGAAGTATCCAAATATACATTTGAGAAAACTTTTTCAGACAAAGGGAATCAACTGGTCAGATTAAGTTCTATGGAGAGTTCTCAGACAGTTGGACAGGGGAACAACTGTAAGGTACAAACAGAAAGGCGACTGTAGCTACAGATCCACTTATACGGATTTCAAATAAATGCTGAAAAATCTTGATAGGTTCCCTTACTTTGCTCTAGCTGCTGAAAATGTGGGCACATATATTATTAATGGTTAAGACCTACAGGCTGAGTGAATGTTAGACCCCAGGGAAATGATCAACACCATTCAGACACATGCAAACTCAGCAGTAATAATGACTTTTGTGAAATACAGACTTGTTCCAGGGTTCAGTGCCAATGGATGTTGATAAAACCCAAGAAGATCAAAAATCATGAAATATTTGCCTGCTAGTGCAAGTATTTAACTGAGCTAAATAATGTCTGGTCCTTATTTTAATTCATACTAACTTCCACTGGACGCTCCCTATCTAATCTTACAGATGGAAGGAGGAAGAGAATATAAAATGGGAAGGTCTCTGGCCAGGGTGTTTATTGTTGGACTTCTATTCCTTTAACTTTGCAGCAATAACAGCCCCTTCAGGCTTTGGGACTGTGTGGAGACATACACTAGTCAGTAAATTTTCACATCTTCTGTTCCTTTCTCCATCCTGGAGCATGCACTTTATGATTCCACATAGGGAACCATCTTCTACTCTCTGCCCACCCCTACAACAATTTAGGAACTCCCCCAGGGCTGTATATTACAGCTTGGGCTTTTACTGCCCACAGCTGGCACAGAACTTGTCCCTGAAGTCAGTAAGCATGCACAGCATTCAGTAGTTTGGTGTGTGCATGCTAATAAAGAAGGGAAGAAGAGTACATTGTTTACTAACCTTCTGCCTGAATAACCATGATTTTTTGCTTCAGATCAATCGAAGGATTTATAAGGCACAACCTTGGCTCCTGCTTCTGAGTCATGCAGACTCCATTCTGGTTTACAATCATCCACTTTCGGTCGTACAACAAACCCTGATTTCCCACCGGCCATTCTGTAACCTGGGAAAGCATCAAGAAGGGATACAAAGGTTTAGAAAATGTTGATTTAGAAAATGTTGGCTGCATCAATAGATTCATGCTGAAAAGAAAAGTGAAGGAAAAAATCCCATTAATGAAACTCTTTGCAATTAGGAAAATTTGAACAAGACAATGTCAGCCTTTTATAAGAGAAACCTTAATTGCAAATCAAAGATAAAGATATCACCGCACAAAGCTGACAAAACAAAATCAAATCACTTTAATTTGTTACATATTATCATAAACTTTGATTTAACAGAGCTGTAAGAATAAACAATCTCCAAAACATTCTGAAGACTGTTTTCAGTTTTATACCCACACATTTTTAGGACTTCTTCCCCCAGCAATTTTCATTTAACTTAAAAAGCACAGACATTTCATAGGAGTTTTATAAATTAAGGCAAAACCAAACAAGTAGTAAGAAAGAAAAATGTGCAATTCAAAATTCTAAACAACATCATTTTTCATAAAATGGGAACCACTTATAAATGAATCCATCTGAGAAAACCCCCACCATTGAAGCTTTTGGTTTGGCTGGGAATAGTTTCTCCAGATTCCCTTATGACAAAACACATTGACTTCTTTGCTATCTGTCCTTCCATCACTTCTATAACACTCTTTACATCCAATAGCCCACACAAGCATATTGTCCTTGCTTTCACGTACATTTTTTCTCATGAAAAGAACATCTGCTTCTGATGCTACACAGATGGTAATCTTGAAATCCAAAAAGAGAGCAATTTTATTAATGCCTTTGGGTGATAATAATATCTGCTTTCTCCTCTAGAATGTTAAAATATTAATACCATTCTTTTAACATAAAGCTGGCCACTTAGACATATTCTTTATCTCACGTATGCTTTCTAGTCATATTGAATATGGAGAAAAGTGAACTTGGTTGAATTCTTGTAGAAAAGCTTAGTACAGCTCACATGAATTAGCTGACAAAAGACTTTAGCAAAAAATATTGAGTAAAAGATATGTCAAGCACAGCCTGATGCTCTGAAGAAAAGCATGGCTGGAAGCACTGGTTAGGTTAATTAAAAATCACATTTTTGTTTATCATGTGCTCTATCCAAAACTCCACAGAACCCAAAATATCCCATAAACTTTTCCAGTTTCTATAGAAGCCTGCAGCAGTAGCTTGACACTGACAGCCTGACTAGAGAAAACTAAAGGCAGGCATTCTAGAACTACAAACTTAAAGCATTCTAGGACTACAAACTTAAAGCATCAAAGCTGAACTCTAAATAATTTGACCACAGTGCTACCAACTATATTGAATACAGAAAATACATGGAAAAATTTTTAAGAGAAGAAATGTGTTTTATCAATGCATTTGACTTATTATTTGGCAGTTTTTTTAAAGCAAGTGTGAATGAAAAATTCAGTGATAAAGAGAAATTTTACTTCTGACAGTGTCATCTGAAACTATATTGTCCAAGCACCTCCAACTGCCAGCACCTAAGTTATGTGAACTTTTGCCCTGTCTTTTTAGGAGAGAAATCACAGCCCAAAGACTGCAATATCAGCTGAAGAACAGACTTTTATTCTTACTGGAAATTATTCTTTGGAGAGACTAGTATTTTTGGTTATCCTATATAATTGGACTACAAAATGCATTTGAACAGCTGGTGATCATCTGAGAGCTGCAAGAATTTCCTGCTAACAAATCTCCCTTCCAAAACAGAAGATCACTAATTGGTAATAAATCTTCCCATGGATCCAACAGATCTTTGCAGGATTTACAATATATAAAGAACAGAATAAACTAAAAAAGCAGAAAAATAGGAAAAAAAACACAAAAGTGCATAGTTCTCTATTGTAATATTCAGCTGTTTTGGTTCCACTTCAGGACAGCAATCTTATTCAGGAAATAACTCAAGTGTTTGCTTGCCCTTTACTGAAGGCAAGAGGTTTTACGAGAAAAAAAAAAACATTCTCTTTAATCAGAGATTCAACTACTTTTTACATTCTGACAGGTATTACAGGGTAAGCCCAGCTAACTAGGTAAATGATATTTCAAAATAATCCACACCTTCCGCTCAAAATAACTCTGATAGGTCCAAAATAATGGCAACTAACTCCATGCTTCACTCTGAGATGCCGCACATGACTTTAGGTCCTCAGCCCATTTTTCCCCTTCCTCTGGCTATTTGCCACTGTAGTAAGAGTCACACTCATGTGCCCTGCAGTGAGTTCCTGTCCTCTCATGGATGTCCCCTGTACACTGCCAAGTGCTGTACTTCTCACTTTTCAATTTCCTGTATTGCACATGTTGCTAGCATCCCAATTAAAAAAAAAAAAAAAAAAGTTGCAACAACAAAATAACTGGGTGCTCTGCCTTGGATGGAGAGTCACAGATGGTTCTGAACAGTCAGGGCTGGTTTGTTGCTAATACTGACACAGGCGATGGGCATGGAAGAACACAGTCATTTCTGTTCTCAGCACTTAGGCTTGAGACTTGTGCAGGCTATCATCTCCCGCTGTTATTTCAAGGAGTCTGAAGGAACTGTTACATAATTACAAGCAACTGAATAGAAAAGTTTAGACAAAGTCTGCCTGCTCTGCTTTCATCTGACACATGAGAAGAGTAGTTCAACTTGGCTCCCTCCGATTATGCCTGAGTTCTCTGCTGAAGACCAGCAGATATGACATAGGCTGCAAGGACAATCCACATCCAAATAAGATCAGCAGCAGGATGACAGGAAGGGCACTCAAATGTCCCTGAATACCTATATTCAGGCAACCAATACAGTGCAGTAAAGCAAGTGATGACACTTACTGCGAAGTAAAATGACGTAGGTTAGCACATGTGGCAGTGAGCAGCACTGCATTATATACCTTCTAACGTGATTCCCTGAAGCTGTATGGCCATCTCTGACTACCGAGGCAAATTAGAGGACGAAGGGCAGAAAGAAAGCATGGAGATCGTGATTTTACTGATAGATGCTTGCAGACACCTTCACTACCAGCACGGCAGATGATGATGCATCCCAGCATCATTCAATATAAGGTTCTCTACCTGTCACAAGCAAGGATCATTGCACAGTACAGACAGTGCTTGGCATTGTCCTATCTGCTTTGGTCAATTTTTCTTACTATAAATAAAAATATTCACTGTAAAAAAATTTTTTTTTTTTTTAATGTCAGAATTTTCTTTAAAACATTTTTGGCTGCATTTCTCCCATTGTTCACAGTAATATTATCATGAAGGTTGGTACAGTTTTTGAACACATTAAAGGAATCACTGAATAGGTTTTAAATTATGGAAGTTTAAAAATGTTAGGGGTCCTACACATAATTTATCCACTGATCACCAGGAATTTGCATCGTATTTTAAATTAAAAGCTAATTTGTCTTCTCTCTTGAGATGCAATTTTTTTATTCTCTGAAATCTACTGCGAGAATAATAATGTTATTAATGTTTAAAGTCCTAACCTCTTTACTAGGCACATTGCATTATATAATTATGCAAAATTCAATGACATGAGAGATGTTCATGTTTAAAAATGCATGTTTAAAATACATTTCTGTGTTAGAAAAGTAGAAGAAAGTGGTCTCGGATAGAGGTCACTCCTGTGCTTCTCCCCATTTAATAAAATAATTGTAGGGAAAAGAAAACACATTTAAGAAGTTGAGTTAGAATATTCTGTCTTCTGCTTCCTGCATCGTATGTATAAAACACATGGAACAACACTGAACAGAGACACTGTTCCCATGGCCAGGAACACTATAAAATGCTGCAGGAACTATCTGACCTGCAGTGAGCGGATGATCTTCATGCCAAGCTTCATCCTTCCAGTTGCCAAAGCACTCTGCACTCTCATTTTCTCTGGAGGTCAAGCACCTCTCATACTAAATCACTTAGAATAGAACAGGGAAATCAGAGTTTAGGAGAGGAGGAGATTATGTGACTCTGAAGAGGACATCAAACAGCTGGGAGTTTGGACTCACATCCTCCTCAAGTTTATCCTCCTGTCACTAATCATCTGTTCTGCAAACAGCAAGTCAGTGGGCAAATTTTACTGGTAGATGGGCTGGGTCCTACACACATGGCTAGCTGGAATTTTCCACTGCACATATTATTTTAGGAAAATGCAAGTGATCATGTAGATACAGTAAAACCTACTTACTGCATGTGCTAAGGGTCTGACCTCCCATACCAGTTGGAGGCCTGCACTTGCACCTACAGATCTATGAGCTTCTGATCTCAAGTATCGAAGTATCACAAGATGAATGAATTTATTACAGCCCAGTATTTAAACTATTTTCATCTTTTCACATCAGCTAGCTTATTACGCCACAAATGATAAAAATGGAGATCAAACTGAAAATATAAATTTCCAACAACTACAAAGCATCTAAAGTTAACTTAGATTTAAAACATGAAACTGAATTTCAGTTCTTCAATTGCAATCAAAGACTAAGGAAACTACAAGTTACATGACTATTACTTCAGAAGTTTCTGAGTTTACTGAGGTAAGAAGATCATATAATGCTAAGTGTTAAGTTTGTATGACAAAGATGACTATACGAATGACAAAGGAATAGTTTTGTATACAATTCAGTCCTTTCAAGATAAAGCCTAGAGATTCTGGTATAATCATTATTTTAGAAGGCAAAATGATTTTCAGGACTTGATTCCCTTTAGTCGTGGCAAGATTTCTCTAGCATAAGGTTTCTCTAGTTTCTTGTTTCAAACTCCAGTGCATGTGGCATGGGTTGTTTTTCCTATTTCAAGGTGATTTAGGTTGAAGTTGCAGTAATGACATATATAGACATATATATAGTGGAGGTTGGTACACTCTTCAGTAAGTAATGGTGTGGGTATATATATATATTTAATTGTCTATTATTCTTTGGCAATACAGGCTCTGACAGTCCTTCACTTACTTGGTTATAATGTGGCTGATGCTTTGTCAGAAAAAAATCAGACTTCAAAAATTACTCTAGGCATGTAAATTAAGCCTCATAATGTAGTTGCAGTTTTAATATCTATTTTTAAATTATTCAGATCAGCTAGTGTTAGCTCTACATTCCAAGTTGCCTTGGATTCCTCTTGCAGTCAATGAAAAGAGACACAAATATCCAGGAACATTTATGTTTCCTGCTGCCGATGCCTATTTTATGATAAAATGAATTAGCAGATCTGCTTCTCTCACCGGTTACAGAACGATATCTAACTTTAGAGGTGTAAACTGAGGTAAGATGAACCCTGTTTTCACTCTAGGCCCATGAACACATGCCTAGCACAAGAAGTATGCATGAGGCATGGGGATTTTCCCCCTCCATATAAAATTGCAGTTCTGTCTGTAAGGGAGCAGTACCAGGTTTGTGTGAATTTATCACTTAGAGTCATTTCCCCTCATAGAGCTTGAAGAGAAGAAACCTGGCTCAGCTTGTGGGGAAACATAAGCTGTCTTTCATGCTGAGGTATGTCTTACCTGCTCCTGGGCAAAATCACTTCAAAGCCTTCTTAGCACTGAATGTTGTGGCATGTATCTCACAATACCAGCCTGCATGTTAAAAATAGACTTTAACCCCAAAGGGGTCTGAATAGTGTTACAACATATTTCAGCAGCTTCTATAGTGAGCTTCTGTAACACAGCTATAGAAACTGCAACACTTAAACAAAGGTTAAAAAATTTTCACACGAAATGGGCAATTAATTTGATTTTCTAAGCAGTTTGATCCAGAGGGAGGTTAATAAAGGGTGGAAATTGCTTGTTCAGGTCTCATTTAATGCTCAGGATTGTGTCTCTGAATTAAAGACATCATAAGTCAAATAAAATTTAAGAATACAGATGTTTTGTTGATCATTTAACAGTGTTTAATTGCCCAACCTCTTTTTGCATTAAGAAGAAAAAAACCCAACTCAAATATGACTTAATCAGCTGAGAAGCCCTATTTGAAATGCAGGGGATTTGTCTTTGGATTTGACCCCAATTCTCACTCAGATATGAGACAGTGGCCTACACCAGTAAGTTTTCTTAGGCAAAGTTATACCATTATTGACATTCATTAAATCACTTTCCAGTATGGTACTAAGCAGAGTCACATTCTAGGTCATGTGTGGGCCATACACCTATTTCATCATGCACTATTTAAAAAAAAAGTCACCACTAAGGTGATCATATTATTAACTTTGTAAAAAAGCAATTAAAATCTTCAAAGAGTGAACTTTCAAATAGCGCAGCAACACTTAAATGTCATATTTCTGTTGCAAATGTATTTTTAATGATAACATTTCTTTGTAATGTAAATCAGCTGCCTCTCAATTATAACATGTTAATCAAGTTATTTCTCAATTGCTGCCTACCCATCAATGCCTACAAGTCCATCACATGTCATTCTGTAAAAGCATACTAATTACTTGATTATATTTTAGTCGAGTTTTGCAAATCCAACTATTTTCTTCAAGACACTGTGTTATGTGCAGATTTGCCTCTCGTGGGTGAGGAGAAAGCAGAAGACATATTTTCATCCTGTAGCTTCAGCCTACTTGAAAATCCTTCAAAGTACCCTAACACGCAGGACTTGATCCTAGAAGTAGGAAAAAAGGAAACATGGGTACCCACTCATGCTTCCTACTATCTCATGCACATGTCCAAAAAAGGTAAGGAAAAGCACTAGGTTGAGATGAATAAATACTTCAGAATGATTCAAAGCACCTACCTCAAATGCAGAGCAGGATTTGATTGGGTAGAGGTAAATGTTGGCAACAGTGATGGGCTTGCCACCTTTCCTACACGTTGGCACTGCAGTCTCTGAAACAGCTGCCCTTATGCTTTCGGCCTCAGTCTCCAGTGGCTGCCAGTTGACAGATGTCTTCGTCACAGACAGATTACTCCTGAGGTCTCCACCTGAGATTTGTAGTATTGGAGACAATTTATCTGCATTGTTAAAGGAAGGGAGGTCATCTGGAACAGACTCTGTTGTCAGCTTCGTAACAGACTTGAAAGGAATCTCAGTGTCTGATTTGGAGAGTCTGGTGGCTATGATGAAATTCAAAAAGGTCTGTGCATCTTCAAAAGAAGACATGTAGCCAAAGGATATTCTCACAGAACCAGTGGGACGTCCATCAACTAGGTCTATATCATCTCCACAAACATGGCCAGCCTGGTTTGAAACAGGAAAAAAAACAGAGAACAGTGATGACATTTTGCTTTATTTCTCTCTAATTTCACTTAGTTATTAATGAGTCTCTTAACTCTCACCTGAAAAACTGTTCTAAAAATTACAAGGCTAACTCATGAATACAAAGAGAAAATGGAAAAAAAATCCCAACTATCTTATGATTTACTCAAACTGGAAAGAAGATAATTTTGAGCTGCTTGTCCTATTCTACTCTAAGGAAAGAGATGTTTCTCACAAACATATCAATTATCACAAAAAGGTTTTATGTCTCATGATTGCCTGCTAGCTACTGCAGTCTCCGGGGATACTTCAGTCTCACCTGCATAGTTCACTGGGGTTTAAACTGGGTTATTATATTCAGAAAAGTGAACAAACCATGAGACGGATGATTTTTATGGGGCAGTTTTCTTGATATTCACTGTCAGAACAATTCCATTTTATACCACTGGTGGCTTATTCATGGCTTGTGTTAAATAGTCCAAATGACAGAGAACTGACCTGGGATATTAGCAAAGCAGAGATTGAATCTAGAGCTCAAACATCCAAAGTGAGATTCCTCGTCACTGGAATATGCAGCAAATCTCTCTTGCTGATCTGGTCAACACATTGCTTTCAGAATGGAGGGAACTAGCCTTTCCCCTAGCACTTCCTCCTTTGAAGAACACAAATTTCCACTTGAAAAACTTTTGTTGAAAAAGCCCTATATTGACTTCCATGTCACTTCTATTTGATATGTCTTTCATACAACACTCTATGGAAAACTCTCCCATAAGAACTGAATTTTCTCATACCGTAAAAAAGTCAGTGAGTTCTGCCACTCACCACCAGGGAAGTAAGCCAGAGTCCCTATTTGTTCATCCATCTAATATTAGCTCACCAATGAACATAAGATTTAGTCCTAACTTAGCATCCTATTCTTTTAAGTGCAGCAGTTGTTGTTTTTTTTCCTCAGAATTTAATTTATTTACATATTTCTGTTACATTAAAAATGGATGCGTGAATAGTTTACTTACATAAGGGTTTCTTTTTTTAAGTAAGAAATGTCACAGTACAATGAACACAGACCCCATTTATGCAAAGAAAAATCAAAAAGTCTATATCTATGTCAAAGCATGCAATGCAGTAGTATTTTAGTGCAGTATGATGTGGTTTTTATCCTTGACAACAGAAATATTTGTGAAATTAGGTTGCATCTGTTAATAAACTCTTCTGTAACCCTTCTGCCAAGTATTGCTTGATTGATTGAGGAGAGGGGTTCCTGCTGTACAAAGAAGTAAATGAGTTCCTATGTAACATGCTAAGAAAACTAACCATGCTTTTCCAGAGACCCTTGAGGACAGAAAGTCCCCTCTCACAGGCATTTTATACATGTAAATCTTCAACAGGGAAGGAAGAATACAGTCAGTACCCTGGGAAAAGATGAAACCAATGTATATGTGCAAATAATGTGATAAAAGATTCCTTCCATTACACAGTAATGTTGTCAATAACTCATCCTGGTAATTCTCAAAAAACTGATGGGAATGGAATGTCCCAAAATAATGACTGAATGACTGTATTGCCTCATCATACAACTTCTGGCAGTTTAAGTGTCTCTCTATAAATTTTACTTTTGCCTATCCCCATTTAAATGATACAGACCCAAAAGAGGTCACTCACTTCTTAGCAAAATCCTCCTTGTATTAGGAGATCTAAGAGCATGGCAGCTGATAATTTGGCATGTTTCACTTCAGCAGAAGGGTGGACCCTTTTTTCCCTTCTCAGACAAGAGAGCTTCCGTGGTAAATCAAAGCACCATTTTGTCAAGGAATGCATTAAAGACATCCCTGCATTTAAGAACTCATCAGTCCTGCATGCAAATGTATTGGCAAAAGTTATCTAAATGTCTCTGTGAAATTATAAGGGAGCTATAATATCAGTACAGCCATTAGATTTATTTTTTTTTTACCTTTTGAATAACACCATTAATAAAATTTTTGATTGCTCTGAATTAATTTAGTGTAATTTCAAACTCTGAGAAATATGCAGACAGGAAGCCTCCCCTACTTCACTATAATACATCCTGCTATAAATCTTTTAATGAGAATTTATGGAAAATATTAGTAATCTTGAAAATAGCCTTTATATTCATGTTCTAACAATCCAACACACCAGTAATCTAAGTAGATGCCATCTAAATTTAATTCATTCTCTGAGATTCACTGTATGATCCCATTTATTGTTTCTTGTCCAATTTGTGAATGTATTTTAAGCTGTAACACCCAACAGCAATGGGTCTACAACACTTGAACATTATTAAGTGCAATTAAGGATACCTAAGGAATAGCATGAGATGAATTGTCCAGGAGTTTCTGTTCTGCAGGAAGTCTGGATTTCATGTAATCCCAAATCAGAACAAGAAACTACAATTTCCTATTTTCCAATGAAAAAAAACAAGCAACAAATACTTTTTTGGGTCCATCAAATGATTTTGCTTCAACACCTAATTTCAATGAATTGAATGTCAGTTAATTTAGTTCTCTAACATGGCAAGTGAGTTGAAAAGTCAGAGAAAGCAAATCAAATTTACCTTCATTCTAAAGTCACAGAAACTTAAAACCATAGAACTGGATGCACTTATTTTAGCTTTTAAATATTTTGTTTTTAAACAAAGGCAGATTTTCTGCTCCCCTTCAAACCTTGCACCTTCAGGAAATTCAGAAATGATAGTCAGAAGATATCTTCTGAGTCACTGACTATTTTTCATGGACAATATATCAATCACTTAATCATGCTCAGAAACTAACCTGCAGGTTCCTTTGGATGTCCTCATTGCTTATATCCAAATGCATCTGGCAGGCTCCTGTGTTACAGAAGCAACCTGTGCGGACATGTATGTTATGGAGACTGGCCATCTTGTCCACCTTCCCAATTCAGCAGTACATGTAGGAGCGGAATGAAAAATAAACATTTCAAAGTTGTGGTCAACAAGGTACAATGTTTTAAAGGTAAGAATCAATGAAGGTAAACGATGTCTCTAAATTATTAACAACTTACCATGGCTTTTACCACTCCCATACAGATTTTGGATTTTTCAGCTCTGTTATTTCAGCTAGAAGAAAACAGTCGTAGAAGCAGAAACGCTTACCGTGGCATTGTGAGACTACTACATACAAACCACACACAAACAGGGCATACAGGTTCAGGTCCTGATCCTGTAAATGCCAATACATCTGCTTAATTTTAAACCTGTGAACAGGTCTATTCCCATCAGTAGTGCTAATTACAGACCTGCAGCAAGGTGTCACTTGGTGTCTTGACAGAATCACCACCTACAACTGCTTCTTCTGAGACTGAAGAGAGGCCTGGAGCACCTTTTCAGTTAGCTAAAGAAAACTCTGTTCTCTGATGATCTGAAATTGCAATCCTCATTACAGGAACTGACAGTGTCTGTGGGATGTTGGAACGCAAGTGCTGGAAGGATTGGCCCCTCAGTAGGCAATAACATCTGACACGACAGGGAGTGAACTAGAATGCCTCCTTGAGTCTTGCATATACAACTATCCAGTCTATCAAGTCCCTGGTGCATTTTTCCCTTGTGTTGTGCTGTTTGGTGTTATACCATTTCTCTATCATCTCCTAAATAATGAATGAGCAGAAATACAGTACTTGATGACAAACTGGCATAAAAGGGAAGGAATGAAAATTATGTGCAAAGAGAACAGAAGCATATAGAATCATAGAATCATAGAATCAGATGGGTTGGAAAGGACCTCTGAGATCATCAAGTCCAACCCTTGATCCACTACCACCACAGTTACTAGACTATGGCACTAAGTGCCACATCCAGTCTCTTCTTAAATACCTCCAGGGACAGAGAATCCACCACCTCCCTGGGCAGCCCATTCCAATGCCTGATTACCCTCCCTGTAAAGAATTTCTTCCTAACAGCTAACCTAAACCTTCCCTGGCAGAGCTTGAGACCATGACCTCTTGTCTTACTGAGAGCTGCCTGGGAGAAGAGACCAACCCTCACCTGGCTACAATCTTCTCTCAGGTAGTTGTAGAGAGTGATGAGGTCACCCTTGAGCCTTCTCTTCTCCAACCTAAACAACCCCAGCTCCCTCAGCCTCTCCTCATAGGACTTGTGTTTGAGTTCCCTTTACCATCCTGGTTGCTCTTCTCTGGACCTGCTCCAGCACCTCAATATCCTTCCTGAACTGAGGGGCCCAGAACTGGACACAGTCTATATGTGCCTCAGAAAGAGATGCATATATCGGAAGATGGCACTGTAGAGGACACGGATTGTCAAGGTTTCATAGCACAGCTAAGAAACAAGGGAAGCACAACACAGGGACCCTCTTAGCACAGCTAAGAAACCATGGAAGCTCACTGCAGGGACTGGCAAATGCCTTACATTGATTTCAAAAAAGCAACAACAGCAGCTGCTAGGGTAAGCTGAGCTGCCACCAGTTATTTCTTAGACAAAAACTGATGAACATTCCTGGTCAGGATGGACAGAAAGGCCAGTCAAATGCATGAAATCTGACACATCCTACCTCTACCACAGACTTCCAGAAAGCTTTGCATAGTTCCTCTGTGCTTTTGCTCCTTTTCTACAAAATGGAATGCTGAGAGCTCTGAGAATAACCACGCTGCAGACTAAGGGAACCCCACTGTACCAGTGACAGAGTGCATCACACAGAGTGACAGCTCAGCCTTAAGGTGCAGGATTGGAAGTGCCAACCACCTCATACTAATCACTTCCCTAACTTTGAGCTCATGCTTTATCTGCTGAGGTATCCATGTAAATATTAAGCCTAGCTTTTCCAGCCAGTTTAACCTCTACTGACTTCTATTATTTTTTACATAAATTCCCTCTGTACAGGATATTGGCCCAATATATACAGCAAATACTTTCTGGTATCATTCAGTCCATCTTCTGTCTCAACATCATCAATCTTTTGATGTCAGTCTATCTTCTGACATCTCCAAGTTTAACTGAGACATCAAGCACCTTTAAATTCACTATCTCGGCAGCTGGGAAAAATAAGACTTCTGCTAGAACTTACTCTGTGCTGAAATAATTCAACTTAAATAGTATTTAGCTCTTGTTTTCTTCTTTTTTTTTTTTTCTTTTTTTTTTTTTTTTTTTTTTTTTTTTTTTTTTTTTTTTTTTTTTTTTTTTTTTGTTTGTTTCTTTTTGGTTTTTGGTTTTTTGTTTGTTTTTGTTTTCATGTGTGGAGCACAAGGTTCTCTGCACAAAAATGTGCTGTATACACAGTAGAAATCCTACATCGTTATAGCCCACAAGTTGTCAAATTCACATTGTTAAGTATGTTCAGCACCACTAGTTCAGTTCAAAATGGTTTGGTTCTCTGATAGAGATACAGTCAAAATAATTCCATGTACGCAGACTTGGGAAGCAGAGAAAAGAATCAGTCCCAAGATCCCTATTAATGATTAATGCCTTGGAGAATATCCTGTGTTCAAAGCATGCTTCTCAAACTGAAGTTACAGTAAAAGGCATCTGTTGAGAAAGACTGTTGTGGTGTTGCTAGCTTTGTTTTGTCAGAAGACTTCAGTCTGGGAAAAGTGACATTTTCTTGATGTCTTTTTTTCATTTAGATGAGAAAAGTTGTCATCCTGCCATAACATGGTTTGTCATAGTGCTAGTGACTCGTGGGCGGATCTATCATTCTGGTAATGATGACAAGCAAGATAAAACTCATGACAAATACTTCACTACTGAAATTGTACAGTGTTTGGGCTTATTTACTCAGTATACAAAAAGATTTAAAATATATAATCTTTTTACTATTAATACTTTTTTTAAGAAACATTGCTGGGTCAGCTTTGCTTATCAAAGTGTAGGCAGTGTAATGCAGTTTCCATGCCACAACTTCAACAAATTGCAAATGGGATTTATTTTTAATTTTTTTTTAATTTTGTCAAATAAATAATTACTGTTCCTTAGTGAACAGTAATTTCATTCTAGCCAAGCAACACAATACCCTCCTACAATAATACCTTAATTGTGATATACATTGACCTGTATGCAGGTCTTGGGAATGTGATGTACACATTGGAAACAATGACAAAGAATCAGTAAAGAATCAGCACTGCAAAATGTCTGTCCCTTGCATGCGTGCTTGACTTTCCCTTGGACATATGTTTTGATTTCTTCTTCTTTGGCTTCACCCTAGAAATATGCTACTTGGGCAGTTAATTTAATCTCTCTCTGCAGTGCTACCACATAGCAAAACAAATAGAACATACAACATCTGTTACAGTTATTCCAATGAAGAAAAGCTTACTTAAATAAAGCACATCTTTAAAATTACCATAAGGAGCAATAATGGATATTGAGCTCAGAGTTATGAAATACAGAATGTTGCTTGCAGCTCTGCCTGCAACAGTGGCAGCTGACTTTTGGGAGCCAGGAATACATTCATCATTGAAGGCACAGAAGCATGAATGGTACTAGTGGTAAGTACACAGCTTAATGTACTCGGATTGTCAGTTTTGGTGATTCCCTGGGTATGATATTTAGAAATATTGGGCCTTAGTCCTTCACAGCTTAAAGTCGACAATTAAATTGCAAAACACATGCAGAAATCTCACAGCATTTTTACTGATTTCAGTCAATGAGGACATGATAATTAGGCCATCGCTACGTAAGTCCCTTCTGTCCCTCGGAGCCCCTTGACAACTCACTACTTTTTCTGAAGCTCCTTATTGTGGGCCTGGTCCTGTAGGATGCCTCACATCCCAACACTTCCGATGTCACGTAATCTTGAATTTTGACAAACAAAAGGGGCTTTTCACACTTCCAAGCCATGGTCTTCAATTTTAATAATTTCAATACACAAATAAATCTCGCCCAAACCAATTTTTTAAAACAGTTGTTTTTTTCTCAGTGAGCTTTCCTTTAGTGTTGTCAGATTGATCAGATGTCAGCATTTGGGTTTTTTTTCATAGTTCACTATCTGATAAATACAATCTGATAATTTTTTTTTTAATATAAAAAATATAAAAAAGTGGAGAGGTTTCTCCCCTCCTCATTTTAATGCATTACCCTACCACAGTCCCATCTTGAATATCTGGTATTCTAGTTACCATCAGCAGCTGGAAAGCTCTGAAAATAAATGAGCTTCTGGTGTGTTCTGCATTCTCATTCCCTGTCAAACAGCTGCATTGGTGACTTTTCTGTCTTTGCTAAATGGCTGACTTCTGCCACACATTTACTTCAAGGCCTCTAGGGCAATCAGCTGAAAGGTGCAAGCTTTTCTCTGGTTTCAGGTTTCACTGAAATAAGTTTAAGAATGATACTTGCTGTAGGAATATATATACTAAGAGAGAGTAAAGATTTACAAACAGCACATAATTTTGCATTATTCCTAATCAACTAAGTCTAAGACTTTCATTAAGAATGATGAATTCTCTAGAAACCCTTGCTAAATTATTCCCATAGGACACAATTCTGTAGTTCTTATTCAAGCAAGTACTTATTTGTGTAAGTTATTTTACTGAATATCACAAGAATTATTCACATGAATAAAGAAACTTTTTATAATACATCATGAAGTGTCCTGAAAAAAAACACAAGTATAAGTCAATACTGGCAGGTACTGTCCTTCAGGAATTGGGATTGGGACTTCTCATTCTACTTTCTACTGTGTCCAAATATCAGAGAAGTTTGTATGTCTGATGGATTTGCTCATTACAAGAATTTCACTGCACACCACTGATGGCTGGTTATAAAACAGGCTTCATGACGCTGTTCCCCACATCCACTGGTAAATTAATTCACTGATTCATGGCATGGAATTGGAGAGAAAGTAAGCTAGCTCTTTCTGTCATCCAGCATTTGACTGTGAAACGCTGTTGCTGATGCAAATGCATACTTAATCTTGCTTAATAC